AGGCTACGTTCAGCAACCTCAACTTGTTTCCAACATGTTGCGACAACCGTTGAGTGAGCGGTTACCAATTGCTGAACGATTCTATTCTCTTAAGTCATGTGACTTATATCATCTATTTACCGTGGTATGACTGTTTATTTAGGTTAATTTGTCATTTTCGTTGTTTGTATTGTTCTTTCGGTGTGAACATGGATTTATTACATTTGATATTAATTGCTGCCGACGATGCGGATGATGTGAGAGGTATAGAATTACAGAGAAATATCATAAACTTCATAGCAAAGGAATTGGACGAACCATTGCGAAATAATTTGTTACAAAATGAACGTAGAATGCGATCAAAGAATGAACATTATTATGAAGTAATTGTACACGGTACAACGATTATGTATTTAAAGAACATTTTAGAATGTCTAGAGTCACATTTGAGGTTATGGGCGTATTCCTCAACACGTTGAGCTCAGGTAGCGGTCTTAAAATGGTTGCGTTCAGCAGACTCAACAGTTTTGCAACCGTTTTATGATTGTCTGCTGAGATAGGACCATTCTTCTAGATCTAAAAGTATGATCCAATCAGCGCGAAGGAAACTTCCAACAGTTGCAAAACAAACGTTCTGCTGAACGCAGCCAATATGATGGAAAAAATGGCGTCCGCTCAGTAAACACGTTGCGTATTGGACACTGACAACAGCGTGTTCAGCAGCTTTTCACTGAACTGTTGTGCAACCGTTGCTCTTGCTGAACGTAGCCAATATTTTAAGACCGCTACCTGAGCTCAACGTGTTGAGGAATACGCCCATAACCTAAATATTTTTTCTATCCAGAAAAATCTGCTGAGTGTTTTTAAAACATGGAATTAGAAAAGGAATATATTTACAATAATATAATATATAAAATCGTTGCAACGAAAGATGTGCACAACAGTTTACAGAACGGTATATAAAATTATCTATCTTTTGCTTGTAAAATATAAATTTGTAAATTATGCAATGTTTTTTCCATAAATCCAAATTGTTTTATTATAATGTTTTAATGTTTACAGATCCAAACTTTTTTACGACATATTTTGCCGAAAATATGTCCTCACTAGAAGCAATATGCGTTTCAGAAGAAAAAGGTATAATATTTACAACTGATTGTAAAAAGCTTTTTAAATATATTACATATATTTATTTAATCCCTTTATTTATTAATTTTATTTATAAAATATTAGTTAAGAGGTCTGTTAAGCGATCTTAAAATATTTTATTTATTTTTATTTCCAGTTTCAGTATTTACGTGGACAAAGCAAGCAACGAAATTGTTCTTGCAAGTATATTTTGAGAGAAAAGAGCAGTTCCGCGATCCCAAAGTACAAAAGAAAAGTTTATGGACACAAATATGCAACATAATGTCAAATGAAGGTTACAATGTAGATGAAGATACATTAGACAGAAAGATGCGCAATTTGAAAAAGACATATCGTACAATAAAAGATAATAATAAGAAAAGTAGTACTGGAAGAGGTCGCATATGTTGGGAATATTATGATACTTTTGAAGAGATATTTAGAAATGATGCAACTATAAATCATGGACCAACATTATCTTCAATGCAATCCACATCAATAAATGCAAAATCAATTCCATCCACGTCAAGAGTTACAAATTCAGTGCCATCCACGTCAAGAGTTACAAATTCAGTGCCATTCACATCAACAGATGCAAATTCAATGCCATCCACGTCAATAGATGAAAACTCAATGCCATCCACGTCAATAGATGAAAACTCAATGTCGTTCATATCAAATGAACAAATCAAGTTTTTTGAAACTAATGATCAGGTAACCCTAGCTTTATTATAATCACTATGGTCCGTATTCAGAACGCGTTTTTTTTTATAAAAGCGTGCTTCTATCTCTGAAATTCTATAGTATGTGTAACGTAAACTATAGCATGTTAGAGCGCTAAATCGCATCGTTATAAGAGTGTTCTGAATACAGGTCTACGTTTCGAAACAAGCAATAAAATAAATAGAAGCCATTTTCATGTTTCAGATAATAAATCCAACGCAAAGTAAAATATCATCTGCAGTCATTGGACTATCATCATCAGAGTCACAATCGCCAAGTACAGATAAAGAAAACAAAAGAAGTAGGATGAAGACGCTATCGTTAATGCGAAAAAAACAATTTGATGTAGAAAACAGTAGAATAGAAGAAATAAAGAGACTAAAAGAGGCGATGGATAATAGTAATACATTACAAAAAGAAAGTAACAGTATACTTAAAGAACGAAATGATTTATTAAAAGATATTCTCTTGGAAATGAAACGAAAGAAGACGGAAAAAGAAAAATAATGGTTGATACTGGTATCATGACTGATTAAATATCAAGTTTTACTATTGATATATTGCTTTTTAAGTATATTAAAACATAATTGATTTGTTATGCAGGTACTAAAAATATTTTTCATATCTCTATTATTGAAACGTTAATTTAGTTTCTAAAAATATTCTTTTAGTTTCGTGTTAAGAGTGTACTAAAAAGTATTCTCTGATTTGTACCTGATAACATTTATTTTTGATTACTGTATATTTTACAAGAAGAAAATTATAATACACTTTAAGAAAAAAAGGCTTTATTAAAAGATACATTCTTTTTTAAGTGATTATAAGAAAAGTTTGTCATGTTGATTGCTATTGATATGTTGCTTTATACCTATGTCAAAACATTTTCATGTTATAAGATAGTAAAAAAAATATATTTTTATCTCTTATTGACATGTTAATTTAGTTTTGTATTAAGGATATATTATAAAATACCGATTTGCGTATCTGAAAAACAAAAATTGTTTTTCATCTGTCATAATGATGTTAAAATGTTAAGTTCTACTACTTCATGATTAAAAAAAAAAATTTATTTGTATGTGAAAATTTTTTTACTATCTCTAGTATTTTAATGTGATTTAAGTTTTATTATTTTAAAAGCAACTAAGGTATATTAATTCTTATGCAAAGTATTTTCGTTGGATGCAATATAGTACAACATGTGATATAAAGATAGATATAAGATAAGTTTTACAATAAAAGAGTTCGTACATTAAGTGCGATTCGTACAGTTAATTATTTCGTATTAATGATTCCGCTATTCTATTCCTTTTTATTATCGCTTCATTATTATCTGCTACTTCTCTTTCCACTGCTACCTCTTCTTGCTCTTCCTCTAACAGTTCTTCATCATCTTCATAATTAGTTTCATTATGATCTATTAAGAAGTTATGTAGAACACAGGCTGCTGCGATCATTTTATTTCCAAAATCAAAATCAGCAATATCTAAATATTTTAGCCTGCGGAATTTACCCTTTAAAAAAGAATATCCTCGTTCTATCATTGATCTTATAGTAGACAGATTAGTATTATATATTATTTGAGTTCTAGTAAGATGGCCTGTGTCTCGATAAGGTGTTAATAAGTTCACTAGTAATGGATACGCTGCATCGCCAATAATATGACGATCAGGTGGTAACAAGTGATGTTTTAACCTTTGAAAAATTTCACTCTGTCTAAATACACGTGCATCGTGCATGCGTCCCGGTAATCCTACAAATATGTCTATAAAACGTCCTTTATGATCACAGACACCTGTTTTAAAAAGAAAGCAAAATTATAGAAATATTGTAAAATATTATTATACAGGGTGTTTCCAAATTAAATGGCAAAACTTCGGGAGCGTGTAGAGGAGTAAAAAACTAAGAAAAAAAGTCCTATAGACATATGCTCGTTTTTGCTCCGTTTCAGAGAAATCGAAAAAAAATGTTTACATTTCTTGCCATATCTAGCACCGACATATTTGATTACATTTTCCACTTTCTGTTATGAATTTGTCAGTCGCTCTTTGAAAGCCTTTAACAGTAGATGAATTTTGTCTTTTGCAATATGCCGCGTACGTATTCTAATAGTGAATATGCTGATATGGTTTTTGTATACGGTTTCTGCAACGGTAATGCTTTAAAGGCGGTGCGAGAATATGCACGACGATTTCCAAACAGAAGAGTGCCAAACCGAAGAGTGTTTATGTTGACATTTAATAGATTGCGAGAGACTGGA